CGGTCAACCTGCGTGATAGGTACGTCTTAGAACTGTTACAGTGCAACTGTTGGAACTGCTGTATTGTTGTACAACTGCTAATGAAAGAAGACTTCATAAATCAATCAGAATCAGAATCAGAATGAGCTTTCTTGCCAGGTATGTTTACACATACGAGGAATTTGTTTTCGTGACAGAAGCTTCCACAGTGTAACAGAATGACAGTGACAGAACAAAAAAACACAGATAATAAAAAATAAAAATAAATAAAAAATAAAAAATAGAACAAGTAAAATAAGGAATAAAAAATATACAAATCGACAATTATATGTACAGGTATATAACAATAGACAGTTGTATGTACAGGTATATTATGTGCAAATTGAAATGTAGACTGAGTACGTGTGTTAGGGCTTACAGTTAATGAAGAGCACTTCTAGATCTGAACAGCACATCTTCTTTAACACAGTTACATCTGTACACCACCTCTCATTGATGTAAAAGCATGTCCCGCCGCCGCGCGATTTCCCCGTTGATTCTGCGTCGCGATCTGCTCTGAACAGCTGAAAGCCCGGGAGACTCAACGCGCTGTCCGGAATGGCGTCTTTCAGCCAGGTTTCCGTGAAACACAGAGCAGCAGAGTTTGAAAAATCCTTATTTCTCCAGGAGAGCAGAAGGAGCTAGTCCGTTTTGTTGGGTAGAGAGCGGAGGTTCGCCAGATGGATGCTAGGCAACGGTGTTCTGAATCCGCGCTGCCTGAGCTTGACGAGGGCGCCGGCTCGCTTCCTCCGTCTGCGCGTCCTGAAGCGTTTGATCAGCGCCGTAGCTCCCCCGACTACAATGTCCAGCAAAACATCAGAATAAGCGAAAACTGGTGAAATATCGGGTGGTGTGTACTTCCGAATGTCCAGCAATTCATCTCTGGTGAAACCGATTGCAGGGATATAACTAAAGACAGGACAAACTAACAAAAACATAAAAAAAAGAAAAGACTCCAGATAAAACAAAACAACTCTATCCTGAAATTAAACTCCCAGTATATACTACATGCACAAAAGTATTGGGAATTATGAAATTCATGCTCAAGTGTAAATGGTATTATTGGCAAGTAGAAGCATTAGGAACAGCAGCAGCTTCACTACGAAAAGTGCGCGGTCACTCGGGTGCACATAGTTCATAAAAATCGCTAATGCTCTGCTGATTCCATAGCTGAAGAGTCCCAAACTTCCACTGGCATTGATTTCAGGATAAAAACTAAATGGCGAGAACTTCATGTAATGGGTTTCCATGGCCAAACAGCTGCATGCAATCCTCACATCACCAGGTAGTGCCAAGTGTCGGATGGCGTGATGTAAAGCATGCAGATACTGGACTCTGGAGCAGTGGAAACCTATTCTCTGGAGTGACGAATCACTCTTCTATGTCTGCCTTACTTCCAAGTGAAGGGAAAACCTAATGCTCCAGCTTACTACCAAGACATTTTAGACAATACTATGCTTCCAACTTTTTGGGAACAGTTTGGGGAAGGCCCTTTTCTATTCCAGCATGACCAAAGCAAGGTCCCTAAAGACATTAGGTTGGATGGATTTTGGTGTAGCAGAATTTGACTTGCCCACACAGAGCCCTGACATCAACCCTATCAAACGCCTTTGGGATGAACTGGAATAGAGACTGCAAGCCAGGCTTGCAGCACAAATGCTCTACTGGATGAATGGGCACAAATTCCCTCGGAAACACTCCAAAATCTTGTGGATAGCTTTCCCAAAAGAGTGGAGCATTATAGCCGCAAAGAGGGGACCAGCTCCATGTTAATGTCTCTGTTGGTCAGGTGTCCCAATACTTTTGTCCATATAGTGTATATAAATATATATACATACATATATGTATACATACATACTGTATAGTTTTATTTATGTTCTTCATATATATTATTTCACGTAAATGTATCCTGTTTTTCATAGTATCTCTATAGCTTTCTTTGTATGACAACTAATAGCTCCCATTTGTCTTATTGCAGGAGGAATCTACTTGCATGGTTTCACAGTGAGGGATCAGCCAGTGGGATCCAGAAGATCTGCTATTGAGCTCAGACCTCCATCTGAAGAGTTTAAAGTGTTCTACCTCTGCGCAGAGAATGCTAATGAGAACAAACGGTAATTAACTTGATTTTGAATAATGTTTAATAATGCATTTTAAAAGCATTCAACAAGACAAGACAAGTCAAGACTTCAACTGTCAAAGGGGCTGAAATCTGGATTGTTTTAAAAATCATCAGTCTACAAAATTTTAGTTTTCATATAGTTTGGTGTTTTATTCATGCTGACAATGTTTTGTCATATCATATTAATTCATTTTAGTCTATTGTACTTTGACTCATTTTAGTTGACAAAAACATCATTTTAATTTTTTTTAAATTTTGAACAAAATATATTTTTTAAATTATACAAAAATGTATATGCTTCTTTGTGAAAACTTCACTTACAATTTAGTGCAATGTTAATATCTTTCAGTGTTTTTTAATCATTTTCATAAATTTCGATCATCATTCATTCATTTTCAATCATCAAAATACTAAATAGGTGTTGAAATGTCACTGCAGGTGGTACTATGTTCATCTGCTCATGGTTTTGATGTTGAAACTGATTTTTTATGAGTGACCCATTTTTGTATTGTTGTCCATGATATGAAAAAAGGCAGGAATTGTTCTAAAATAATAAATCGGGAATTAATTAACATGGTGAAGTAACATCATCCTTTTTTCTTCTGTTCTTCCTAGATGGGTTAGTGCAATAAAATCGTCAATAGGAAAATGGCTTCCACTGCATCAGGCAATTCAAGACTACATGAGTCGCCCACCCGAGGAAACAAGAATGTGAACAAGACTGATTACAGGACAGCCTGGAGTTTCTCAACAAGTTTAAATCAGACACGACCATGTTCATACCAGACCATAATGATTTCCTAATTTTCTCTTACAATTACATCTCTGAATATCATTGTTTCTGCATTTGAAATATGCAAATACATACAAATTAATAGAAAAATTAAAAAAATAAAAATTAAATTGATAAAATAATCTGCTGTAGATATTCATGATGGAACCTAAAATAACTCCATATATAATATTCAAGTGTGATAACACAGCAGCAGCAAGTGCATGAAGTTGTCATGGTAACCTGGTACCATGGTAATCACTGCATGCTGAAGCATAGAAATATAAATAGAAAGCTCAGAACTCAGCATCACTTCCGAGACTGAGTTACATCACTGTTTTCTCTTTCAAGACTCTAATTTCAAATTACGTCTTGATTCAGGTCCACTTAACCTTTAATGTGTTGCATGTTTCTTTGCATTCAGAGGAAAGTTTAAGAAAAAATGATGGCCTGCATTTCTGTAAACTTTTGTTGTCACACAATTTGAATTCTTTTGATCTGTTTCCCATTTTCAAGATTTTCTATGTAATGACAGTGCCACTGTTATTTGTACATTATATGCATTTTCTTTATGTTTTTACTGTCTAGGCCATTTAGTTCGCTTGCGGTAAAATATCTTACCTCTTGTTTTAGCTCATTTATATAGTTGACGGCAATATTGTGACTTTTCCTATTCTTTGTATAACTAACGATACATTTATGGCTTTTTGTATTATTATTTTTATTAGTATTCGGTGATCGTTTTTACAAAATGTAGAATTTTTACAAACTAAGGGAGTATTTATCAGATTAATAATCATCAGATTAATAATGTTCACGTATGTGCCCCGAGCAACCAAATTCATTACACTTGGCTGAAATGCATCTCAGATTACATTCACTTTATGACTGGATAGCTATTTGATCAGTAAAACACATGTAGGGACCAAGTGTAAATATCCCCTTTTCCTTAGAATCTGGTATAGTTGGTTCATTTAAGTGCTTGTATTGCATGTAAATAGCCTATGCAACTAAATGAGCTTGCCAAAATACAGACTCGCATTATGTTCTACCTCACAGAAGTTCTTCTTGTACGAGTTTCATGATTATACAGATGACTGCAGATTATATATGATTACAGTTGACTGAGTCACTGGGTGGTAAAATATCTATCTATCTATATTATAATCTTTTATCAGTTTAATTATTAGCCATTTGTAATGTTTTATTCAGTTGTAAAGTCATACTTTTTACTGAACTGTTGAGGAAACAGGCTTCCATATATTGTTTTTTTAGGCCTATCACACATCATTTCACAGTGGGCTTTTGGTCAAGTAATCAGAAATGTTATCAAAATCACAAATTTTTGCTTTTGTCTAAAATGTATTTCCACATAGAAATTTGGCATTAGAACCTTAAATCAACTTCAAAGCTGTCAAAACAAATTACAGCAAAACAAATAGTATAAAATAAAAAAAACACAAAAAAATGCTTAGAAACACATTTAACATCTGTTTAAAAATATAAAATACATTACAATATAAATAAAAGATTAAAACACTGAAGCAGAAAAATTAATACTCGGTAAGACATTGATGTCTTCATTCAGAGAGCCCTAAAGTACATCCATTATACATGTACAGTTTTTTCTGTACATCTCATCTTGTGATGATAAAAACAATTCTGCGTCAACAATCTGCTCAGAATGTTTTTACTAGTTATCCCTACTCAAGCCACTTCGACCAGTAACATACACAATATAATGGCACTTACATAATGTGAGGCATTATTATATTCAAGTCATCTGTTTCAGGCATGCCGATACATTCTGACATACAGTAGAACATTTGATAAAGAAAGACTGGTTTAAATGACTTTAACAACATACATGTAACACATTCAGTCATTTTCACAAAGTGTAAATCTGAGATTGATATATACCAGTGTTTTTATTTTCTTTTCTTTAGGTGCAATCATAAGGTTCATTGATACCAAACCAGAAATGTGTTCTTGAAAATAGACAGAAAATCATTATCGATCATCAATTATTATTATTATTATTATTATTAAAATTACCTATCATTTAAAAAAATGGATAGTGTGGGTGAAAACACACTCACCAAATTACCCATATTGCAATTCACGACAAATTCATAAAACATTTACACACATAGGTTTTTTTACCCTTAAAAGGGAACTGAAAAGCACCTGCTTATGTAGTCGTTTGGACATGTGTGACCAAGTTAGGAATCTCTGAACTGTGTGAAACAAAAAAATAATACTAAAGAGTACAGTACAGACAAAGAACCTCTCAAACAAGGATGGAACGGCATCTTTGGCAACTTTTGTGTAAGACATTTTCAGACAAGATCACTTACCAAGATCCTAATACACAGTATCAAAGCACTAAGCAGGACTGTTTCAGTTGTCATTTGGAAACAATACTAGATTGTTCAGTATCTAAAGCATTGCACTTTCTCTATAGTAAATGAATCAGAAGTCTCACAGGATGAACAGGTCACAGTTTGCAGTTGAAGGCACACGCATTCTCCAAAGCTCGAAACACATTTTAGTTTGATTTCTCAGCCTTCACTCGAGTCCTGAGTGTCCGTCCATGAGCTGCACGTCAAGCATATGTGCATTCAGAGGTTGTCAGTTTCAGCGCACCCTTACTGTGCAGTGTCTTCAGCGTTTTGAACTCCAGCGGCATGCGGTGGGGTCCCGCACTGGAAAAATAGCGATATTTCAGTCCGTCATAGTAATGATATTTAACAGTATTTCTGTTACCGTCCTTTGGGAAAGGCCAGAATCCATACAGGTGGATTTCATCACAGAAGCGTGTAGCCATTGTGTACATCAATAATCCAGTAGATGGTCGTTTGATATTTATCTTATTTGTAAGCCAGTACCTAAGAAATAAACAAACATTACTAGTTATTCCACAGGTATTATTCGCATTATATTTATTAGGATGGTGCCTTGAATATTTTTGGTTGAATATGCCACTATACTCTGATTAAGGACTATTTGTAGTCACACTGACATCAGACTCCTGAAGCAAATATTATTATTATTATTATTACTAAAGGTTGTAGTGTCTTTTTTGTCTCTCTTATTTTTGTATATTGTTACATCAATTAGCAATCATCATTGCACACCTGCAGGCAATAGATAGATGTGTAAGAAAAATAACCAAAAAGTAAAAAAATAAAATAAAACAAGCAACAAAAGAAAATCCCGCACACTATCAATACTTGCAAAAAACATCAAAAACTATTTATTATTGGCAACGTTTTCTTTTGTTGCTTTGTATATTGTTACATAAAATATATACTTTTTTTAAGATTTGTGTGTATGTGGTCTAACAACTCATTTCAACATGCTCTCTTAAAGGGAAGGTACACTTTAGATGATAGTGCTGTTAAATCTTACAATCTTACCAGAAACTAGTTTAAATCAAGTGGTTTAATGTGATTTACTGTAGAAAAACTTTACCATTTTCAAGAATAGAAATTGCAAAACTCTATACAACAAACGAAAATGACTACCAAACAAGAAAATCTGAATGTGATTGGCTTGATTGTGGTGCAGCCTTGCAAATATGAGACAAGTTAACATTGGTTAACGCACTAGGTGTCATGAATTAACAATAAACAATACCTTTACATATTACATTTTTTTTTTACATATAGATTTTTTACATTTCAGTAGTGGTTGGTCAGAAAAGTCAAGGGAGACTGAGGCTCTTAAAAATATATTGCAAAGGAACGTACAGTAACATTAATCAATTTACTCACTAATGTGTGTAACTGACGTATTTAAAAAATATATATTTTCCATTTTTCTTTCATGCGCAATTTGTCAGGCAAAATTTAAAACGGGTCATGAAATAAGGAATCAATTTTCATTACGTTTATAAAAACTACACTAACTAGCTACAAACTACTATAGTAGTATTAAAACATATAATCATATAAACATAATCAATGACGCTGTCTATCTCAAGCACACAATGAATTTCTTATTTACATCATGTCATTACATCATGACAGGTTAGAGTGCAAAATTTGTCATATAAATGGACTCAATACAATTTATGTTAGTTTAATATAATTTATCATTAAACCAGCATAACATCTATAATACTTTTTTATTTTAATTTATTACATAGCAGTCCCATTTTAAAAGGGTTAAAGGTTTTTTTTTTTTTTTAATTGGTTATCGGTATTGGCCACAACAGTCTATGAATTATCAATTATTAGTATCGGCCATGACATTCCATATTGGTGCATCCCTAATCTAAACAAATATTTCACTATGCTCAGAGTGAAGTTTTAATGAAGAAAACATCATATCTGTATTTTCTACGTACATTATTATTATTATTAACAATAAAAGATTAATAGTAAATTAAACTCATATTAAACAAATTAAAAATATTAAAACAGTGTACTGAAAATGTATTAATATTTAAAGTATGCTTTTAAAAGTAGGCTACGTTTACATGATATTTGGAGGTCTTTGATGTGTTTTCAGTATTAACGTCAACGATTAACTGATTAATTGATCTTTAATTTTAAAGACAATATTTTATGAATATTCCTGTGAATTGACATCCTCAATAAATACGTATACATAGGCAACATAAACAGAAAAATAGTGAGTGCACCAACACTGGACTCACACACAGACATTAATATCTACACCAACTCCGTTCTGCACCACATCAACAGTTATGTCGATAAAGTATCCACCCATAAAATAATTAAAACATCCCCCAATCAGAAACCTTGGATGAGCAAGGAAGTTGGACTCCTGCTAAAAGCACGTGACACAGCTTTCAAATCTGGCGACCAGGAAGCCTAGAGTTTATCCAGGGCCAATCTGAAGACGGGTCTTAAAGCTGCTAAACATAATTTCAAACGGTGGATTGAGGATAAATTCAACAACAATGATCCTCGGCTTATGTGGACAGACTACAAACCATCAAACAGCACAGCCTCCCCCCCAACCAGTAATGCCACCCTCCCAGATGAACTGAACATCTTTTATGCTCGCTTCGATCGTGGAAACACAGAATCACCCAACAAAGCTGAGCTCCCGCCCTGTCACTCTCATGCCAATCATTTGAGAGGCTGCCCCCTACACGGGACCCATTTCAGTTTGCCTACAAACCCAACAGGTTAACTGAGGATGCCATCACCTCAGCTCGCAACACTGCACTGAATCACCTGGATAAAAGCAACACTTATGTCAGAATGCTATTCATTGACTTAATTTCTGCTTTTAATACTGTGATTCCATCTAAGATGATCTCCAAGCTCACTGATCTTGGCATCAGCCCCTCTCTCTGCAACTGGACCTTGAACTTTCTTACTAACAGACCACAGTCTGTTAGGATTAACAATTACAACTCCTCCATCCTCACCTTGAACACTGGTGTACCACAGGGCTGTGTCTTGAGCCCAATTCTCTACTCCCTCTTCACCCACGACTGCATACATCTACATGACTCTAACTCCATAATCAAGTTTGCAGATGACACCACAGTGACAGGCCTGATGAGCGGCGATGATTAAACGGCCTACAGGGAGGAGTTTCAGCAACTGGCAGTGTGATGTGCCGACAATAACCTCACACTCAACACCCAGAAGACCAAGGAACTTACTGTGGACCCCCGGCAGACTAGGAAAGACTACACTGTAAAAAATGACTGTGAATTACAGTGAATAACCGTAAATTGACATTCCCAGAATTCCCTGTGTTAAATTAGAAATTTGATGTTTTTTGTTGAAATAACTGTTTCTTCTTAGTTTTTTCTTATCAGTTTTGTACATTAGGGTTGTATGTTACACCTAATGTTGTTAAATGAATGTTTATTGCATTATTTCAGTTCCATGTGTGTTACAATGATGGTTTTTAGTGTTTGTGTGAATGACACTGTGCACCTTCTATATATGTTATTATTTAATAGCTGCTTGTGATGGGCTTTGGTTCATCATGTGACTTTCTCATCACCACCTGCATTTGGTGGTTATCAGTGTATTACAGAGGTACAAAACAGATTTCAGTACTTCAATAGGTTGATATATTAGCATTATGTCAGTTAATGAAATTACGGTATTTAACTGTAAATGTAAGTTAAAGTTAAGTTTTGAGGATGTTTCCTGGACCTTCAACACCACCTCTCTGATCAAAAAGGTGCAACAGCACTTTTACTTCCTTAGGAAGCTAAGAAAAGCTCACCTGTACCCCACATCTTATCAAACTGCATCACAGTGTGGCATGGCAACTGCACTGTCTCAGACCAGAAGGACCTCCAACGGGTTGTTAAAATGGCCCAACACATCACTGGTGTTCAGTTACCCTCCATCAAAGACACTTACCTTAAATATATAAATATCTACATCATCATCTGTTATTATTGTTGCACATTCCTTTGTACATTCTACCTCATGATGCCTATTGCACTGTATATGGCCACTGACCGCATGTTTATATATTTACAAATACCTCATTCTGAAAAATGCACCTTCTGTGTTTATACTTCTTCATTCTGAATAATGAACCTTCTGTGTTTTTTACTTCTCATTTGCACCGTACTGTATCCATATTGCACTGTTAATGTTAATGTAGATTTAGATTGCACCTTGTACTGTATTTCAGATAACTGCATTGAGCTGGTCTCTGCACCTGTCCGTCACAAATGTTTATTACACACATATATGTGTGTGTGTAAATATATATATATATATATATATATATATATATATATATATATATATAT